TAACAAATAGGCGCACGCTCTTCCAATCCTTAGTGATCTTTGCAGTTGCTGTCCGCGTCTCTCGCCATAGTAACAAACCAGAAATAATCAGCTGCAGAACAAAAGTTAACCCAAACTCAGCAGCCAAGTAAAAGATATCTGCAAGGAGAAATGGGTTGGTTGAGCCAAGAACCTTGAAAACTTCGGCAAGAAAGGGAACGGTGGCGTAATCGTAGTTATAACCTCCTTGATCACTTTGAGAAAGAGTTGTTAGAATTCCCTGACGCATTTGCAAGTTTGTAAACAATGAGAGAGGTAAGAAAATAAAGGCATCTATTTATCAGATCTCTCCAGCTAATAAATACTTAATAAAAGGATTAGGACTTGTATACACAACACTAATAGCTTGAACTAATAATATTAAATCGAACAATCAACCAACCTTCATTACTCTACAAATTCAAAAGCCCAAAGTAACAGAGAAACAATCAAAGCACTTAGATTTTTACTTGGCATCTCGCGATCCATGATGACATTACGTGGAAATAGCATTGAACACACTCTAAACCCCAAGGTTATAGAAAAAAACACCAGCGATACATACCAATTATACTCTCCGGTAAATCAAACCAAAAGAAAAATCGGATAAACGAATATATAAAGCGCATCAAATCGGCCAGATTCAATCTTAATTAGGCGGGGATTTGAAATGGAACCTGAGAGCTGGTAAGTATAGTGAGAAGTAGTGCGACGAAGTACCAAGGAGTACCCATTCCTCTCTCTTCTTCACTTGTTCACACCCTCTCTTTCTTCCTTCTCTTCGCATCACCGTCTTTTCCTCATTAACATTTTCTTTCTCGCATTAAAGTTAAACTACGTCGCATGATATTTGGGCTTTCACGCTTGACTATTATGAAAATGATTGGGCCTTATTAAAATACCTGCCTCATGTATACATTATTATCTATTTATTTAATCTAAAATTTATTAAATGTAACTTATAATGATAATTTGATGAAAATTCTAGTATATTAAGTTTATACTTTTTATTTGTGTATTTTATAAGATTTTAAACATGAAAATGTATTAATTTTATTCTAATCTTATACAATAAAGTATGCTTCTCTACCTTCTCATGCATCCACATCAGCATTTGTGAGGTGGGCAAAAAAAGCCATGTCAGCAATAACCTAAACCAAGTAGACCAAACAAAATTTATCTCTCCCGTTTCGGTTTCAATTGGTTTTCTGTTTGTCGGTTTTGTGGTTGTTGTTGGGCTGGCTATTTTGTGTGATAGAGGCCCAAATTTTTTTTTAAGTTTTTGTTGTTAAAACGGAAACACAGCAAATAATGGCATAAATCTATATAATAATAGTACACTTTTGAATCTCCTCAGCGTGTCCACATCAGCAAGTTTGTGGGCCCCGCGCGTGTTATTAGAGAAAATAAAAACTATAACATTTTGTAAGATTGAATGTTATCGATGAGTGATGAAATGGCCCAGTGGTGTAAGTTGGTGACGAGGAGTTGGTAACGCGAGTACGCGGGTTCGAAACGCAGTGCTTGCATGTAATTTTTTTTTTAATTTGGGATTTTCGGGATACCTAAAAGCTAAAGGAGATTCAGAATGATTTTTTATGCTGGTTGTTGGATACAAAATGGCTTAAGGATTTGAAACTTTATGAGACCATCTTAGATACTTTTATAAGAAAGGTTATCATGTTCTAACATCCAATATCATTTCAATTCAGTTATAATCATCAAATAAAATAAAAACATATTTTTCAATAATAAATATTTACCCCGAACCATTCAGATCGGCTTTAAATCTCATATACATCACAATTAAAATATATATATATATATAACATAATTTCAGAAATAAAATTACAGTAATAAACACATGTCATTTTTTGTCTTGTCTCCATTAAATTATTTTTTACATGAAAGCACTAATAACAGTAACACTCGATAAAATCACTAATAAAAGAAATGCTCGATAAAATCACTACGAAGATAAAATATAAAAATATTAACCCATATGAATTCGATGTTTATTCTTTTATCAGACTAATCAAGTTGTGTGACTTCTAATGTTTCATTCATCATCATTATAGATAAGCCAGATAAACAAATGTTAAAAAAAAACAGCAAAAATCTCATACACAAAACTACACAATACATCAACAACGTATCTAACCCCCGCGCTTGCGCGGGGACTATGCATCTAGTCATCTATAATACCAAAATTAAAGCAATTTAAAGTTTTTTTTTGCGTTCAATGACACGTTACAGACACATCTATTTAGATATTTCAGATAATAATAATAAATACCTAAAAAGGTAAATCAAACCTTCAAAATAATTTTAAAATTATTCCACAAATTTATAGCGTTTGCAACAAATACAAACTTATTTAATGTCAAGAAAATTAAAAAAGGTTTATTCGATACCCACATATAAATTACCTTTCAAATTATATTATAAGTATTAAAACCAAGCAAAATCATAAGGAACTCCGGTCGGTTAATTTTTAATAACCATAAATTACACATCAAACCACTCAGCATACATGCAACGGTACAACATAAATAATAACAATCAAACCGCAAAGCAATTCAACGCAAAATTATGGCTTCCAATAATTATATTTAAAAACGTAAACGACGTTACAATCAACACCGTGTCCAACGTCCTATATAAACAAGTGCAGAACACAAATAAACTAATAAGGACAGCGTTAGAATAAAAAAAAAACCTCGATCATTTTCCGATGAGTTTTATGAATCGAAAACAACATAATACCCTCACCCTTGAATTCATGCCCGAAGACATGCATCTCATAATTGTTTCCAAAGTAGGCTATGACCCCCCCCCCCCCTCCGACTACTTCAACACAATTATGACATCCAAAATCCTCAGTTTCAGTTCTGAGAACTTCTTTGTTGCAAAGGATCTCAACCTCTCACCTTTGGTGAAGAATCTTGCTCTAGCTCATCGGTAACAAAAGTTGGTGCAAAACTGCCTCAACGCGAACAATGTTGACGCTCACTATGTTAAAGGCATGCTAGAATTCTTCGAAACTCGAAATCAGTCCCTAGGTCTACATCACATCCACATTGCCTCAAATGGTGGTCACCTCCGAGGAAGGTACATTTACGGCGTCCTCCTTATGGCCATCGNTTCTACAAAAGGATAATGGGCTTCAGTGATCACCTTAACTAAAAGAAGGCCTATACGGGAAACATGCTTACCATTAACATGATGACGTACTCCTTCCACTTTTGATTTATTTGTTTTGTTTCTCAGTGTAAGTTGAACATTTATGTTCCTCTTCAATTTCTTCCAAAGGTTCTGTTTAATTTTGCTTTTAGAATAAATTTTTAGACTTTGTTTTCAAATAAATTTTTATGAAAAATATTCTCATAGCTAATATCTCTGATCCTGAAAAAAAGAAAATTTGTCAAACAAAAAAATAACATCTATGAATCAAGAATTTTAAAATAATTTCCAAATGTCCATCATTTAACCCTAATGCCATCACATTTATATCATAATAGACCATTCTCATAAACAAAACACAATAAAAATATTACATTACAAACCAAGAAATTTTTTAAAAATTTTTAAATAATACAAATATCCGATAACCCGCGCGCACCGCGGACGGACCACTAGTTATATATAAAAGAGTTTTCTCTCAAACCGTCACGTCAGAAATTCGAAGTCTCCCGTGTTGACACGTGTCCGATTTATTAAACGCATCATATCATTATTATTTTGGGAATCGCTTGGGCTTATATCTACATTTGGTGTGTGTGTTTTGCTTTAGTAAGCCCAATCCAATATAATAAATCATAATATGATATGTTTGAAATGCGGCGTTTCTGATTTTCAGTTTTACTGTCTTTTCTCCGCCGTAGCTATTCTAGGATTTTGACCAAAGAATTATTCATCTCCTGCCAATCCAGAGATCAATCAATTACAGGTTCATTCCTCTTAAATACCTTCTTAAATCCATCGCACACGATCTCTCTTTAATACCACCTTTGCTGTTTGAAGGCGGAGGAGGTTCGAGTATAAAAAGCTTAGCATCCCTCCACTCGAAGTCATCCTATCAATCTATTAGAACAAATCAATCTATTTACTTATTGAGAAATGGCTAGCTCATGAGTTTTCCTTTCTGATTTAAAGTCTGGTATATGTTCTTCCATGGCTGAGGTTAGGTTATTGCGTTTCTGGGAGGCGAGAGATATCGGGCGTGTACATGTACTCATGTATGCCGATATGCTCTGTCTTGATACAAATGTGAGTTCTGTTTTAGAATTTCCGGTGGTCTTCAAGTTTATCTTTCCTGTTCTATAAGAATTTGCATTTTATATTTATGATTCTCTTAATGATTATAACAATTTTTTTTAACGTTTCAGGCGACTCTTATGCCAGCCACCGTTTCTGCTACCCAGGTTCCAAACTTTGGTCTCCATCTCACTGCCGGGCCGATGTATTCCATCATCGGTTTTGAAGTGGCTTAGTGTAATCTAAAATTCAGGCTGTCTAACTCCTTTTTTTATATGGTTCAGTAATGCAACCTCCTTCGAAGTGTTAACTGTACCGAGTTCTCAACTCCCTGAAGAATTGTTCCCGTTCCGTAGTCAAAGCGAAAGGCTTGATCCTCCAAACACTAGCAGTCAACTCCCGGGTAATCCTCTTTCAATTGTCATCATACTAATAGGAAAATAAATTAAAATATTCATTCTTTCATAGATATCATTGGGAGATCATGGCGTTAAGAGTTCTATCAGTGATCCTCCAAAGACAAAATCACTTGATCGCGACCATCAAACTTGAGAAGTAAGTAATTTTTTTTTCAGATTCTCTAAATTAAACATATCTCATGTATCATGTGTACTACAATTACCAGAAAAATCACATACGTATATGTATTGTATTAGCAGCGATGCTTATGTGACTATGAGTTTGTTCGACTCCCACATTGTTTTGTTCACAACAAGCTGGACGCCATGTTATATGATCCAAGAGTTACTGTTGCGACAAGGTTAAATCCTAAAATAGTTGAAGGTATTTTAGTTATTATTTAAATTTAAAGAATTTTTAATATGTTTCCAGTAAGAGCTCCAGTGTTTGTTAATACCTTCATCAAACCTTATCATGCATGCGGTTTGTTCATTAATGCAACTTCAGGAACACAAATTTATTTCGATAAGAAGACTAATGTACGAGAGCTCCTATTCTACAAGTAAGTAGCATGGTGATTGTATATGCATTCATTCATATACTAATGTGACCAAGACATTGTTAAAATACACAGATTAGTATCCATCGGTCAGCAGCTCCGCTTCTGAAAGGATATGCCAAGGTTGAGAATCTGATCATATCGATGCTTAATGAGTTTGTCATAACTACTCCGTCTCAGATAGTATTTCAAACCGTAGGATTTTTTATTTTTTAGTTACATGGTTGATACCACTGATATGATTCTGGTGTTCTAACATGTAGGACATTGACTTTATGTGTTTTGGGAAAGTGTCTGATATAAATATGGACAAAGGTTGGTGTTATGTTGCTTGCTCTAAGTGCACCAAAAAAAACTGGAACTCACAGACTCAGCCTTCACATGTGTACACTGCGAGAATACACACGCTGTTGGTGCCCTCTGGTATGTAACACATTGTATTATTTTATTCTTGTCCATTTCAGTATGTGTCCACCACCATATTAGCACCTAACCTTTGGAAACTTGGCTTTTGGCTTCTGGATATAGATTGGAGATGGACATAGCTGATTATATTGCTGAGGGAGTATTCGTTTGTTTTAATGGGGTGATGACGAAGCTCCATAACCTCAAAGCAAATGAAGCTGGTCATATGTTGGTAAGTTGCCATTCTAACACTCAAATCCGTCTACCCCGCGTAAGTTATAACACATGCGATCTTAATTTGACAACTAGGCTGAAGAAGGTGTGAACCCTGAGGATACTCAGGTCCTCTTTTTATTTTGGATATGGAAGGAATTCACCTTTCAATTCTGGGTTAGTGCATACAACTTCACGGACAATCATCAGACCTTCACCATCACATGCATGCATTCGCAACAAACGTGATCGTGCATCTCTCCCTGATTTCTTTGATAATTTAGACCTTCACCATCACATGCATGCATTCGCAACAAACGTGATCGTGCATCTCTCCCTGATTTCTTTGATAATTTGAGTTATGAATGTTCCGTTATGTCACTTTCATGTGCTGTAAATTAATATATGGTATTGGACATGATCAGGAAGGGAACGAGAAGAATGGGAAAAACATACCAGGTGACGGCATGGTTCTTTCTAAGGTTGAAACTGGGGGTAGCAGTCAGCAGGCAGCAACAGATGCGGGAGCATCCCCAAATGGTGAAGAACCAGAGAGCCCATCAGCGAATGCAACTTCTAAGATGGGGGAAGAAGGCACGTCTCGCTTAATGTTTTGGCATCAGAGTTACGCACTTTCAACAATTCTTTGGCATCGATGTTGTGTTTTAATATCCATAAAATTTTCAGCTAAATAAATCTATCTTCTTTATTGACTGTATTATAATACGTGGCACACACAAATAAATATTTCAATTATTATAATACAATAATGTGGATTTTAAAATCCACTAACTATAGAAACAAAATAAAATCCTTTACAAAAAAAAATATTTGTGAAAACAAAAGATAGAAAAATAAAAATTAATTTAACTATATTAGACTTTGTGAGAAATTATAGTTTAGGATGTAAGAGTAAGGAGAAACAGAGTATGGGCGTATGTAGTGATGAAGAGAGTAAAGAGACTTGTGTGAGAATCAAAGAGAGAGTAAGGGAGATTAAGAGAGTATGAGAGTTTTAATGAGTATTTGGGTGAGAGATTAAGTGAGTCTGTGTAATCAGAGAGAGTATGGACGAGATTGAGAGAGTAAAGAGTATGGAGAGAGTGAAGTAACAAGAGAATTGAAGAGAGAGAGAACTCCTCTCTGCCTTAAGGTTCAGCAATACACATGGAGTGGCTTTATAGCCAAATTACAAGTTGTAAGAGATTAAACAAATGTTATAGTATAGATTTACTAAACTAATATTATTTTAGGCCTTCTGATGGAGCCAAGAGGATGCAGCCAAGGATAATCTCGACCAGAGGGAGGGAGAGTGACAGGAGAGAGAGATGGGCACATTCTGGTTGAGTGAAAGTGACAGTTCCCAACAGCTCTCTCTCTTAAGAGCAACATGTGACTTTTACTCTATTTAATTCCAAACTTGCCTAAACTCTCTCCAACGGTCTGATACCTTATTTAAACTTCAAATCTGCTTCATAAGACTAAGCTGGACGAGTTTCCCAACTTTCCTTGCCTTCCAAGACACTCTAGCTCAAGCTTGGTTGCTTGGCAGTCAAGACTGTACGGGCTGACTTCTTACACAAGTATGCAAAATCTTCTCTTCTTCTTGTCTCTTATTTCAAT